TGCTCTGTCACCAGGCTGGAGTGCAGTGGTGCAATCTCGGCTCACTGCAACCTCCGCCACCTAGGTTCAAGCGATTCTTCCGCCTCAGCCTCCCGAGTAGCTGGGACCACAGGCGCATGCCACCACGCCCAGCTAATTTTTGTATTTTTAGTAGAGACGGGGTTTCACGATGTTGGCCAGGATGGTCTCCATCTCTTGACCTCGTGATCCACCCGCCTCGGCCTCCCAAAGTGCTGGGATTACAGGCTTGAGCCACCGCGCCCGGCCTCATGTCTTTTATGTGTAATTTTTTTTAGCATTCAAACTTAAATAATCAAGCATTTAAAAAATCTGTGACCTGTATCCACCCATCTCACATCGCCCAGTGCTTTCTGAACAAGCTCCTCACCTGGCATGCCAAGACCACTCCACCGTGCTCCAGGCAACACTGCCCTCCCTCTACCAAGCAGCCAGCACCTCCCCAGCTCGGAGCCTTGGCCCCTGCCGTCTCCTGGTTGGGAATGCCTTGTGCCCACTGTGTCTAGCAAACTCCTTCGGAACCAGCCCAATCCTGCGTTTTCTATGATTCCCTTCCAACTCCAGACCAAGTCAGCTGCTCATCCTCCTGGCTCCTGCCACCCTTGGCTACTGGGTGGAGTACGTATGCAAGGCCCTGTGCTCTACCTGGAACAGGGCCTGCTCTACATCCCTGGCATGCAGCCAAGAGCCCAGATCAAATAATGGGGTGAAATGGGTTCCTGGGGACTGTGCTTCTCTGTGTAAACGCTGCCCACCCAACTCTCCATCCAGGATGGGGCTCACTTCTCCCCATGAATCTCCACAGCCTCTCCGATGGGAGGGGTTTAGAGGGAATCTGACCAACGAGGAGGTCGGTTCACACGGACACGAAGTCAATTTGTACGTAAAAGATGGTGTACCTTGATGTCTGGCAGTCACAAATACCCCCATGCTTTTCCAACGTAAGCAGAATTTCATCTTTGCTGTCAAATCGAGCAGTAGACTAGTAAAAATAAATAAGAAAACCTAAGTAAGCAATCCAGGCTGTCCCTAAAATACAATTATTTTTAAAATATACTTTTGTTTTCAAAACACACACACAAAAATTATCTTTTAACTTAAATATTTTATTAGCATTAATTTAGCTATTTAATAGTTTATTAAAATAACCATTAAAAGAAAAACTTCAAACACCCTTCAAAAGTATAGTCTAGAAAATTACGAAACTGGACACTGACCGAAAATGCCAATTTTTCCAAAAAGTGAGCAATTCCACTAAGATATTTTGCTTCATATCTTGATCCTGAATTAATAAGAACTAGTAGTAAAAAGAAAATTAACAGGTTAAGTCAGATATTCAAAATAAGATTTATCAAGAGAAACATTTTAAAATTTCAATATGATATGATCAGATTTAACTACATGAGTACGACCGTGCTGCTGACGGCTTCACAGGTGTATGTGTAGGTCAACATTTATGAAATCATACACTGTTTCCACTCAGGGTACAGTTCACAGTTGACACGCTAACCGACAGTCCACCAAAGCTTGCGCATGTTCAAACAGCAGGGCACCCACAGCACCACGGCAGTACTTACTTCCTACTGTACAAAACTGTCCAAACTTATTTTGAGACGCCACGCGAAGCCCATTATCCAATGTGGTGACTTTGGTTTCAAACTTTTCCTGTCCGTCAACTGTAGCAAAAACAGGCTTGGGTACTCCAGGTAAGGGAGAAGAGAGGGGGATGTTGGGATAGGCACCACCACTGCTAAACCGTCTGTGCGCAGGAGGCCCAAACCTGCAACAGAGAAAGCGGCCCAGTCACAGCAGGCTTGGGACCACAAACCGGCGATGCCCTCTCAGGTGAACTTAGTTTTGTTTTGTCCGCATTGAAAGTGAACATCTGCCTTTCTGAACAACTTAATTCTACAGACTCTGGAAGACAGCAGAGGCTGACAACAGAGACCGACCGGCTCATCCACGGGACCTGGAACAAGCTGGTTCCACCCTTTGGGTCTTAGTTGCCATCTCTGTAAAACAGGACTTATTAACAGCAAGGCGCTCCAACAGTCTGTACACATAAAGCCCTTCAAGGGCATCCCTGATGTCTTAGATAGAAACCACACCCCTTATTACCCTAGTCCAAAGGCGGGGTGTGACTTGGCCTCTGTCTCCCTCTCCACACTCATCTCCTGAACCCCCCAGACACCCACAGGTCGTGGTCAACTGATTCTTCTGTCAATTCCTGGAACACATGTGACTCATCACCCCCAAACCATCTTCACTGTTCGAGGCCTTGCCCTTTGCCCATGCCTACCCCTTCTTCCATTCTTCATCTCTTCCCTTAAATGTCACCCTCAAAGAGGCTACCCTCATCAGCCTACTCTTTCCTGTTCTTTTCTCTTTTTTTGAGACGGAGTCTCGCTCTGTCTCCAGGCTGGAAATTCAGTGGCACGATCTTAGCTCAATGAAACCTCCACCTCCCAGGTTCAAGCGATTCTCCTACCTCAGCCTCCCGAGTAGCTGGGACTACAGGCACGTGCCACCACACCCAGATAATTTCTGTATTTTTAGTAGAGATGGGATTTCACCATGTTGGCCAGGATTGTCTCGATCCCTTCATCTAGAGATCCGTCCGCCGCGGTGTCCCACAAGTGCAGGGATTACAGGCGTAAGCCACCTCTCCCGGCCTTTCCTGTTATTTTCTATCACTAAAGGCTACTTGTTTACTCCAAAGCATTTGCACGATTGCCAATATTTTGTTCACGTTCCTGGCTGTATCCATCTCCTGGGGGCAGGACGTCCGCACCCCTGAAAACCGCTCGTTGTGTGGCGAGGGGCGATGCCTGTACTGCGGGAAGAAAGTTCCAGCGTGGGGAAAGGCAGGCCCCGCCACTTGGGCGGGAGGAGCGGTGGGGACGGAAAGGGTCCTTAAACGTCAGGGATCAACAGACCAGCGGACAGAGCGCCGCAAACGAGAGCCTGAACTCTGGTGTCAGAACCCTGCGGTTCTAACAGAGCTGGGCCCCCGCCGGCTCAGCCTCCAGAAGGAGCACGCCGCAGGAGAAGCGAAGGGGGCAGAGACGAGACAGGGCCTCGGACAGGGCCCGTCGGCCCGGGAGGTGAGGGAGGGAAAGGACCCGGTAGCCGGGAGAGGAGAGACAGATGGGACTGCGCGCCCGGGCTCGAGGCCCAAGACAGGGCAGGGTTCCCGTCGCCTCGGGGACGACGACAGTGTCCCCAAGTGGAAGCCCGTTCGACGGACGCCGTGTCTTCTATGGAAACCAAAGACGGAGCGTCCAGACAGACTCGAGCCGCCCCGGCCCCAGGCCGAAGCACAGCTCGCCTCTGGCTCACCTCAACCGCGAGCGGCCCCAAGAACCCGAGCCCCGCAACAACCGCGTCGCCACCAGCACCACAGCCGCCATCTTGAGTCTCCGCCCCCAGACTCTGTCGTCACTTCCGCTTCCGCCCGTGGCGCCCCCGCCCTCTCAACGACGGCGCTAGGCGTTCGGGCGCGCGCTTCCGGTGCTCGGAGCGGAAGCGGTGGCCAGAGGCTCGGAGGCGCGGCGGCGGCCGAGTGGCGGGCGAACGGGGCGGGCAACGGGGGCCGCGGCCCGGGCGGAGCCAGGGCCATGGAGCCGCCGCTGCCGGGCTAGGCAGGTGCAGCCCCGCCGGGCGCGCGGCGATGTCGGGCTACCCGCGCCGCTCGGGCGCCACCCCGCTGTCCCGCGCCCGGAGCCTCGTCATTCCCGACGGTGAGCGGGGCAGGGGCCGAGTCCAGCGGTCACGGGGGGCGGCGGCCGCCCCGGCATGCAGTAAAGTCGCCGTTGTCGTTGCTTCCAGCTCCAGCGTTCTTTGAGCGCCGGTCTTGTCTCCCCCAGCTAGACTGTGAGCGCCCCCATGGCAGGGACCTGGACTCCCCCTTCTTCGGCATTCGGCCGGCCTTTATGTGCTATGTGCCCAGCCCGGTGCTGGCTTCCGTGGGAGACACAGGTGAGAGACGAGGCGCTGGCCCCGGGGACGCCTCCAGTTCCCGCGCCACCTGTGGCACCTCCGCTGCGGCCGGAGTTCGTCCATTGACTCGAAAGTGAGCACGGCGCTCACTGCACGCCAGGCGCTCGGAATTCAAAGGCGGAGGAGTCCCGCTGCGAGGAGCTCACAGTCTGGTTGCGGGGAGACCTCCCCCGAGACAGACAGTTCCGATAGAGGATGGTCAGTGCCCAGGGAAGCACAGGAGCCCGCCCGCTTTCCTCGTGGAGCTAGAGTGGGGGTGTCTTCACCCATTGGGCGGTGATTGGAAACCCAGCTGGGCAGTGGCCAGGTCTGGTTCATCCTCGTTCTACGCAAGAGGTGCTGCTGGGTGCCCGGGGTGTGCAGGAGTGTTTGTGCCAGGGTCTGAGGACATTCGGGGGTGTCACGAGGCAGGAGGACACACTCGCCCCCGCTGGGCTTCAGAACCTACGGAGAGCCTCTTTCAGATCACAGACACCAGGGCCAGTCTGTGCGAGTCAGGCCATCTCCAGGGTCACAAGTCCGGGGGCTTGTGTTTTTTAAAGTTCCCTAGGCTGTGAGCAGCACTGTAGTGGAGACTCCGCGTGCAAAAAAAAAAAAAAAAAGATGTGAGGTCATAAAGGCTTGCCACCATCATAGTGGGTGACTGTTTCTTTGCAGATTTTGGCTATGGAAAGGGGAAATGTTCTAAGCAAAGCCCATCAGGAGCCCATCAGACACATTTTGGAGGTAGAGTAGTTCAGAAACCTTTTCTTCCTGTCTCCATCCAACACAGTGCAAGGGACTGGTGGCGGGACTGTCTACGTGACGGGATCTGTGGTCTGTCTGGAGCCCCATAGAGCAGGCAGGGGTGGGATTTCAAGGGTTCAGTCTTGACCCTAGAATAGAAGCGAGGTGCACGGGCAGAAGAACCTGAGCAGGGGGGACATCAGGAGGCAGAGAAGTTCTATCTCGGGGGCTGGGACCACAGGAGCCAGCTTTACATGGGTCTCACAGCTGGGAGGGCCACGTGTGGCTGCTTAGGTGCCTGTAGAGCGGGAAGGCAGGCCTTACCCATGCTACCTAGGTAGAAGAGTCGGGAAGAGGGTTGAGGAGCCCTGGCTTCCCCGCTTGGCAGCCCCTTAGGAGCTTTGAGCTCCCAGCACAGGTTGCGCTGACACTGCTGAACTCCGTGCGTGTGTGCCGTGGAGCGGCCTGGGTCGTCTTACAGCTCCCCAGAGGGTTCTTGTGGGTACCAGAGCGTGGGAGCAGGGGCTGAGGGGTGGAAGGAGAATATTTCAAATGCAGATGCACGTCCATGTCACTGTCCACCTCCAGTCGCCTTCATGATTCCCAGGGCCGCCTGAATCATGGGAGAAAGATTCACATGGCTACCCCACCTCACATGTGGCCGGGCTCTGGAAAGAGGGGAACGGGAAGGTTCCCTTTCAGCACTCTCCAGTAGCTTTATACATTTGTGACGTCTGTTGTTTCAGATGACAAATTTGAAGATCTTGAAGAGGCAAATCCATTCTCCTTTAAAGAGTTTCTAAAGACCAAGAACCTCGGCCTGTCAAAAGAGGACCCGGCCAGCAGAATTTACACAAAGGTAAATCCATAGCATTGTTGGCGATGGCTTGAGACAGAAGCAGCCTTGTGGGGCTGGTCCGTTCTGGCCTGCAGCCTCCTTTGGAGGAGGTCTGCGAGTGTGGCAGGGCAGGGCAGCGGCAGTGCTGGGAGCAGCTCTGGGCTCAGAAGCCGCTGGGCTCCTTCCAGTAGACGAGATGGGGCCTTTCTCCACGTTCCGAGGCAGAACCCAGAGAAGGGAAGGCACGCGTGGCTGCTGAGTCAGAAGCATGGCCTCCGTTGTTTTTTTTAGGAAGCCTCGAGGCATTCACTGGGACTCGACCACAACTCCCCAACCTCCCAAACCGGGGGGTATGGCTTGGAGTATCAACAGCCGTTTTTCGAAGACCCAACAGGGGCTGGTGACCTCCTGGATGAGGAGGAGGACGAGGACACCGGATGGAGTGGGGTCTACCTGCCGTCCGCCATGGAGCAGAGTCACCCCAAGAGGGTCCCTGCCGGCGCATCGCCCTGCAGCACATACCTTTCCTTCCTCTCCACCCCAGCGGAGCTGGCAGGGCCGGAGTCTCTGCCCCCTTGGGCATTGAGTGACACTGATTCCCGAGTGTCTCCGTCCTCTCCAGCAGGGAGTCCTAGCGCAGACTTTGCGGCTCATGGAGAGTCTCTGGGGGACAGGCACCTACGGACGCTGCAGATAAGTTACGAAGCAGTAAGTGAGCTTTGCGGTGCCCTGGCACAGCGCCTGTCTGAGCGAGCTTCTCCGGAGAGAACCTGGAGCTGCCCTGCTTCCTGGGTGGCCCGGTTCGAGTCCCAGGACAAGATGACTCGTGTAACAGCCTACTACCTACTGTTCACTTTCCCTTTGACTTTGCCTTTGGTTACACGTGGGAGTAGAACCGGCTAAAGAGGACTGGTGAGATAGAAGCTGTGAAGTGGATTCAGTTGAGCACTTAATGGGCTGTACCTCAGGAGAGGCTGGCTCCAGCTGTCAGCTCAGGGACATCCTGCTAAGTATCTAAGAGGAGGAACATGTTTGAAAAATTATAATCACCTAAAAGGTGGTAAGCTCTGAGCAAAACAATGTGTTTTTTGAGACAGTGTCTCACCCTGTTGCTCAAGCTGGAGTGCAGTGGTGCGATCTCGGCTCACTGCAACCTCTGCCTCCCGGGTTCAAGTGATTCTCCTGCCTCAGCCTCCCGAGTAGCTGGGATTACAGGCGTGCACCACCACGCCCAGCTAATTTCTGTATTTTTAGTAGAGACAGGGCTTCACCATGTTGGCCAGGCTGGTCTTGAAGTCCTGACCTCAGGTGATCCACCGCCTCAGCCTCCCTAAGTGCTGGGATTAGGGGCGTGAGCCACCGAGCCCGACCTCTGAGTAAAATGAATTGGCATCTGTGACCGCAGGTCTTTAAAAAGCTACACCTCCACCCGTGGTGTTCCTTTGTAGTGTGCTACAGGCTGACGCTGCACTGGCCCAGGCGTCTCTGAGCATCAGGAGGCTCTGGAGTCAGACCACAGACGCATACCCCCTTTGAGTGAGACATGCCGACTTTCTAATAGGGATGTTCTTTCTCCACAGCTGAAAGATGAAAATTCTAAGCTGAGAAGAAAGCTGAATGAGGTTCAGAGCTTCTCTGAAGCTCAAACAGAAATGTATGTAAGCCTTTAGTTAGGAATGCAATTCACAACATCTAACACATAGGGAAATCCGTGTTTTCTTTGTTTTTTGAGAAGGAGTTTTGCTTTCTTGTCCAGGCTGGAGTGCAGTGGCACGATCTCGGCTCACTGCAACATCCACCTCCTGGGTTCAAGCGACTCTTCTGCCTCAGTCCCCTGGGAAATCCATTTTTAAATGATGATGAAGTAATCAGAATCAAACTGGATCTGGCTTTTAGCGTATTAAAATGTTCAGCATGAAACTCATTTCCGTGTTCTGCATAAAATTTTATTTCTTTCTTTTGAGACGGTGTTGCTGTGTCACCCAGGCTCCAGTGCAGTGGTGCAGTCGCGGCTCACTGCGGCTTTGACCTCGACTCCAGCAATCCTCCCATCTCAGCCTCCCAAGTAGCTGGGACTACAGGCGTTCGCCACCACACCTGCCTAATTTTTAGATTTCAGTTTTGTAGAGATAGGGTCTCACCGTGTTGCCCAGGCCAGTCTCAAATTCCTGGGCTCGAGCAATCCACCTGCCTCAGCCTCCTAAAGTGTTAGAATTACAGGTGTGAGCCACCATGCCTGGCCAAGACAAAAAGCCACCAGACTCCTTACTGGGGCAGCAGAGGTGTGAGAGCCCCTCCCTGCACGCCTGCCTCGTAGCTGCCTGCAGCTCCAGGCCTGAGGATGCCGCTGTCCCCCTCTGTGTCTGAGGCCCGTCTGTCACAGGCTCTTAGCGGGTTTAATCTGGCTAGTGAGGTGTCTTCTTGTAGTACTCTTTAAAGTAGCCACAGAAATTAACAACTCGGGTTTTTCTTTAACAAGGGTGAGGACGCTTGAGCGGAAATTAGAAGCAAAAATGATCAAGGAGGAAAGTGACTACCATGACCTGGAGTCGGTGGTTCAGCAAGTGGAGCAAAACCTGGAGCTGATGACTGTACGGGCGTCTTTCTCTGAATCGGGGCGAGCTGGGCGGGGCAGGAAAGCTCCCAAGGGAGCGCTGTTGTCCTCAGCAGGCGGGTGGGTGCTGTGGAGCCGGTGCAGACTGCCCTTGGGAGTGGGACTGTGTGGCTCTCAGGGACCAGCGTCCCTTGGCGTGGCGGTCTTGCTGTGTCCCAGCCAGCCTGGGAGGCCATCCGTGGGGAGTGGAGGCGGAGTATAGGCACTGCATGGTGAGAGTAGCGGCAGGACCGGGTAGGGCAGAGGCTGGGAAGGGCCACAGCCACAGCGG